ATAGAGATAGAGATAGAGATAGAGATAGAGATAGAGACAGAGACAGAGACAGAGACAGAGACAGAGACAGAGAGAGAGAGAGAGAGAGAGAGAGAAGAGAGAAGAGAGAGAGAGAGAGAGAGAGAGAGAGAGAGACAGAGAGAGAGAGAGAGAGGTGATACATTTCATTACCGTAATTACAACTTTAACGCAGGTATCAGTTTGAAGCGAACTACAGGTTTAATTTCTAAAAAGTAAATCGCAACATCTCTCTAACTTTGATTGCACGAAGGAAGTTGTAATCATCCCTAAAAAAATATAATGACTTTGACGGTTATGATTACCATTATCATTATTATTATCATTACCACTACTATTACTGCTATCGTTATCATCATCGTTATATCTTTTACTCTAATTACTATTATCATTATTATAATAATTACTACCTTACCGCTGTTATAAACATTGATGATAACAATGACATCAACATAACAATAATAATAATGATAATAATAACAATAAAAATAAAATCAAACACTACAATAGCAATAATAATACTAATAATAATAATAACAATAACAATAAAAATAATGATGTTAATATAATAATAATAATAATAATAATAATAATAATAATAGCACCTTCAACAACAGCAATAATAATAATAATATAATAAAATAAAAAAATATAATAATGAGAATTAGATTAATAATATTGAAATTAATAATAATATTCTATAATAATGACAATAATATCAATTCCAGTAATATCGAAAATAATAATATTAGCTGTACTAACAACAGTTGCTAACCAAATAAATAGACATATATACACAGAAATGCAGAAAACATTAGCATAAACGAAAGAATATATATATATGCATAAAAAAAATACAGAAACAAAAAATATATGTATATGTATATGTGTGTGTGTGTGTGTGTGGTGTGTGTGTGTGTGTGTGTGTGTGTGTGTGTGTGTGTGTGTGTGTGTGTGTGTGTGTGTGTGTGTGTGTGTGTGTGTGTGTGTGTGTGTAAACAAAAAATACATATATAAGCAAATATATAAATACATTCAAAAATATATATACAATCAAAAATCATATATATATACACTATATATATACAAAAATACATATATAAACACTACATACACAAACATATACAATATATATAAAAATAAAACTATACAACAACAAAGCGAAAAAAAAACATATAAACAATATATAAACAAAAAAAAAAAAAAATAAAAATAAAACCCTAGAACGATACAGCGAGCCCCGTTATAGTGAACCTCCCAACTCCTCAGCGAACAAAAAAAACAATATATAACAAAAAAAAAACAAAAAAACAAATAAAAATAAAACCCCTAGAACGAATACAGCGAGCCCCGTTACAGTGAACCTCCCAACTCCTCGGCGAAGCTACGTGGGCTATACAAGAAATCCTTTAGAATTACGTACATCATTAAAGAGTAATTCTCGAAAGGATGGGAGTTAACACGACACATTAATGGCTTCAGAGGCTGTCGCGTCTGATGAGGATTTTTTTTTTTTTTTTTATTCTTTTTTTCGTAAGTGTGTCTGTGTATGGAGGAGGTGTGTGTGTGTGTGTGTGTGTGTGTGTGTGTGTGTGTGTGTGTGTGTGTGTGTGTGTGTGTGTGTGTGTGTGTGTGTGTGTGTGTGTGTGTGTGTGTGTGTGTGTGTGTGTGTGTGTGTGCGTGTGCGTGTGCGTGTGCGTGTGCGTGTGCGTGTGCGTGCGTGTGTACGTGTGTCTGCGTGTGAGAGTGTATGTATGTGTCTGCGTGTGTGTGTGCGTGTGTGTGTATGAGCGTGAGTGTGAGACTTTGAGTGTGAGTGTATACGTGAGCCCGTAAGTGTACATAAGTGTATTCTCGGCACAGAATTTAGCGAAAAACGATTCGTGTTTTCGTCCGTTTTTCCGCCGTGTGAGCGAATCCCTGATGGCTTTAGTTTTAATGGCCGTTTTACCGCTCGCCCGCTTGTGCTTCGGTGTCTTCGGACGTGCTTGCATTTCTCCCTCGCCCGCCTGCTTGTCTTGGACGAACGGCTTGCCAAACTTCCATTTTCTTTCGTATTTTATTTCCCTCTCATTCGTTAAATTTCTCCTTTTGATCCGTAAGTCATTTCATTTCCCACCAAAAATGCATTTCATCCCTAGTCGTATAAATTCATAAATCATAAATCGCGCTTAATTCCATTTTTAATTGTATTTGACATCACAGTCATTCTTTTTTATTCTCTTAATCTACTCTTCCAAGCCTCCAAATCCTACCTCCCTCCCTCCCTCCCTCCCTCCTTCTTCCTTCCTTCCTCCCTCCCTCCCTCCCTCCCTCCCTTCCTTCCTTCCCCTTCCTTCCTTCCTTCCTTCCTTCCTCCCTCCCTCCCTCCCTCCTCCCTCCCTCCCCCTCCTCCCTCCCCTTCCCTCCCTCCTTCCTCCTTCACTTCCTCCTCCGAATTTCTCTCTCCTTTTCCCTGCATGAACGTCTTGCTTGAGCGTCG